TGTAACTAATTTGTTAGTATTGATTAAATGGAAATATCTTTTATCAATTCATCCGTCATTTTTTTTATTATATTTTAGAATTATCTGTCTAAATGAAAATTAATTAAGTAAATATGTCTTAATTGAAACCAAATATTTTACGAATAACTTATATTTGCAATGCTAATCGAAAATTTTCCTTAAAAATATAGTCAACTACGTGCATATCAATATTGAAATATAATAAATTTTATTTACAGAAAGAACACTACACTACAATGAAATATCACTCAACTTAAATTAAATTCGGAACGTATCACTAACACATTTTGCTATCAAAAACTTTTTTTTAACAAAAATTTGATTGACACGTTACACCAGATCTCACTTCTCAGTTCTCAGTATTTCGTTATATCCGATTTTTTTTTACAGTGTGCATTTACTGCTTCGCAGAGGTTCCACAGTGCGTATGATTGATATATAATTGCTGCATATATATTCAGTTTTTGTAAACTTTTCATGCTGGCACGTTTTTTATTGTGATTTAAATGCACATAGCTTTTTAATGCAGTAAATTTATAATAGAATATTTCAAAATAAAATTGAATCACTATTTCAGGTTCAGATTGCTTTCACCATAGTACGTCCTTGCAATATTGAATGCACGTGTTTGAATTTCTTTTTCACTATTCAAGTAAAATTTCATTAAAAATCAATCAATCAAATTTATTAAATTAAAACTTCTTATGCATTATGCAACTGAATATAAATATTAGTATTTATATACATTAGTATTCTGAGAATTTCTATATAGCATAAAAGCACTGCAAAATAAATTTTGTGAATGATATATATGTGTGTATGTAGTGCAAATAATAAGATTTTTACCATATGATGCTGTTTTATAATATTAAATAAAAATTTTCTAAATTAACTGAAATTCAAACAATAAACGTTTTTCAAGTGATGAACTACAATTGAACTCTTCCAATATTAAAATCAACTGCAATAAAACGAATTCCAATTAAAATATTTACATGACAACAAAAGTGTGGCAATATTCATTGTAGCATTTATTTGATTTTGACCTAAACTTTTATTATGTATGACGAAGTGAAGCATATGAAATTCTTTGACAACTATTCATATTCAAACTATTCTTTTTTACTTCACAAACCATTTTATTAAATATTTGACGTCAATATCCCTTCATTGGGAAAGTTAAAAATTTCACAAAAATCATTGTTTTTATTTATTTTGTGCGCATATCGGCATACGTCAGCGTCCTGGGGTTTAGCACGTCACACAACGTCAATATGTTAACACGGTGAAAGTGATTATATTGTATCTCACCAAATCAAAGTAAATTTATTTGTGTTATATGATAGCACAGGATTCTAGTCGCGCCATCAATGATGTAAGCAATTTTGTCGATTATTGTTACAATGAAGGACAGCAGACATAATTCACAGGAATTACCGACATAATGAGATTACTTAAACTTGTCTGTTTCATATAATAATTTAATAGCAGTACTTAACCAAGTTAGAAGCTGTCATATCACATATTTTAATAATATTGTGAGCACTTTAATTACAATTTAGTGGACTTTACAAGTTGTAACTTGAGAAAATGTGAAAGCTTGTAATCACACATTTATTGCATGGAAATTGACATTGCAATTATTGTTTTTTACATGGGTAAGTTATAAACAATAAAATTTATATACTAAGAAATTAAATATATATATATGTTATTAAAGAGAGAGTTTAACTACAATAACAAAAAATGTATTTTATAATTAATAAAATTATCTTATCTTATAAAAAATTTGGCCTCAGTAAAACGACATACCATTTATATGACTACAGAGCTGTGCAAAATTCAATTACATTACAAATTAAATTACAATTACAGAGTAATTATAATTGACGCTTGAGTTTCTAGATTACAAATACGAGTCTTTCTAAAATTTGGCCTTAGTAAAACGACATACCATTTTATGACCACAGAGCTGTTTAAATTAAGTCACATTACAAATTGAATAACAATTACAGAGTAATTATAATTGGCGATTGAGTTTCTAGATTACAAATGTAATTATAATTGAAAACCTCAATTATGAATGATAGTATAATAGTAATTTGTAATTGAGTTCCTAAATAACAATTACGAATTACGCGAAATTTGCAAAAATAATAGATGGAAGAAGAAGCATCGGAATATTTGAACGATTAAAAAATATGAGAAATAACTGTTGTATTTAATATCTTCGGTTTTAAGTCGTCTTCACATTTAGTTTGCATTCTCATTCATAGTCTTTTATTGGATTGATTGTATCAGCTTTTTGCATTTGGTGTGTAGAAGCGTTTCATTAGCACATTAAAACAGATGAGTTGGTCTCAGCAAGTTCTCCTGAACATTTTGTTAGAAAAATTTAAACTCAAGAAGGAAAGAAGACATGAAAACCAACATACGGTATGGTTAAACCAACATGACGAATATTTTGACCTTAGTTTTAGTTGAAATCTGGTTAAATCAACCAAAATATTTTTCTGTATGTAAATTGAAAATGGTTTTTGGATTACTATACGAGTACAAAATATTTATACTCCAAATACCAATCTTAATCTTAATCTTAATATGCTGAATAGATAAGTTTACTGTGAAAGCAACTAGGCGAAAAATAATACTTGAATAAATAATATTACTTGTCAATAATATGATACTAAAATTTCAATTAGAATATATCTAAATATTTATAAAAATACGTATATGTTTTTTTATTGAGCTAAAATAAATATAACCTCTATTGGCACTAGGTGGTACTTGGAATGTATATAAATATCTACGAAAATAATTAAAATTCTTCAAACTAAGATATAAATATTTGCGTTTAATGACATTAGATCTAAGGGGTTTTTGGACAATCAAACTCAGTATTCCTCCTCTACCAGAAATATAGCTACAGTCTTCTTAACAGAAAAATTTGTCATCTTATTAGTGTGGGATTGTAGGATTATCTAGTGAAAATGCACTTTAATATTTACAGCAGCAGTAAGGTTATCTTCAAAATTGCTATTAACCCAATTAGTTTCTTAAATATGATCAATAAAGCTATGTAGAACTAAACCAGCGTTACAAATTGTAATAAACTATAAATTAGACCAAATACTAAAACCCCTTTAAGTCCAGAACCCATTTTTACCATTTGCTTTACAGAATAACTTTTTTGTGTTAGAGTAGGTTTATGAGATTAGTTCACGAAAGAATTTATTCCAAAATAGAAACTAGCAAACTAACAAAAATTTTTGTGAAAGAACTTGATGTATGATTTGTAAAATTTCTCTAGCATTGAGAGAAAAAGCACTCATTAAACTAAACAGGGGGTTAACAAGGCACAACATAGGACACCATATGCCTACTGTAAATGTCATCAGAGATTACTCATGCCAATCTTGTCTTGAGATTGTGTATATTAATGGGCATTCTCTCTATTATTTTTCAACTTTCTCAAGAACTAAATTAGATGTATTACATGTAATTTTCTTATATAAAATTGAATTATAAATTCATATTATAAAAATTTGTCTCTACATATCTCCAAATAATATTAATCTTAAATCTATGGTTAATTTAACTATATTACGAGTATTTTGCGTTCATTTTTAATATATTTGCTTGGTCATTGCAAACTCAAAAATTACAATAAAAATAATTCCACTTAAATAATCAACTTCACACACTTGAGAAGGACCTCAGCAGCAGAAAAATAAATTACACGTTTTGTATGGATACCATTCCTATTTCATTTTATTTTATTTTTTTTTTATTATTTTTATTTCGCATCCATTTATCATTTTGTGTTGTACTCCACGCGATTCCTGCGAACTCAAAAGGACAATGTTTACAATTCCTTTCAACAATTTATCTTTAGAAAATCTATTCTGCGTCGAAACCATTTGCATTTGAATATTTTATCATTTTCCTTTTTTGAGTCATTTATTTCTTGTGTATTTTTTAGGTGTTGAGTCCTTTATTTTAAATTACATTTAATTTTCTCGAAAAAAAGAATATTTTTAATAATATTATATAATCTGCTTCTATTTATATTTTCTCAGGTTTTTTTATATTATTTTTTAACAAATCATCGCACCTCGCAGTGTTAAATTTTGCTATAAATGGCGTCTAAATTCACGGCTCCACTAATTGGGTCCAATTTGAAATTACCACATTTATATAAAAAACTGATGATAATTGTAAGTATTACTAAGGACTATCGGGAAGCAGTTGTGCAAAAAATAAAATTTGGAAAACTTCGCATTTTGCTTATTTTGTTGTTGGCAATAGTAAAAACATATGTTTGTATCTTAATTATAGCTAACCCATTTTGCTGACTAATCAACATAATAGCTCTAATAACCTTGAAGATATATGGTATTAATTATAGTTAACTTTCTTCTTATTTAATATTGTGTAATATTGTGTATTTAAAGAAAAATATTTACATGTTTAATTATTACGCATGTAAGGGTATTTATAAAAGAGTTTAAATATATGAACTATGGTTACTTGTACATGAATTTCATACTAATTAGTTAATTAATTTTTACTACCAACCTATCAATACTTTCAACAAAACCGTTTTGTTTTCAAACTTTATCCAAAAAGAATAATGGCTCTGCTGTAATCAAAAACAAACAAAATTTTGCAGTTCAGTTTAAAGGTATATAAAGTTTTATTTAATACTTTCATTAGTTCAAACTTTCACAACAAATGCCAAGTTTTACGCCATTGTTAATTTCTTCATTATTTTTATTAATTTTGTTCTTTACTCACTCAATATCTTTAACTGCTCTTTTGTTTCTAATTTGTTACGTTTTTGTTGCTAACATCCTTCAAACTTAATAGCCCGTTCTGTTTCGCAGTACAAAGGATAATAAAAACAGGTAATTTGCTCCATTGTGCAGGTATCCCTTAGTTAATATAGTTTATTTTTCTATAAAAATTTTTGTTTATAGAAAGAAACTTGTGGAGAAAGGAGAACTGAAATACAACAAAAGTTTTAATGGAACTGGAACAAATGATACACAAACAATGCTTTAATTAACTCAATAAATCACACTACATAAATACTTTTCTTTTTAAAAATGTTTTAAGTCAATCGTTCCATTGAATGTAAAAATTGTACATTCTTACTTTTAATACCTTTTAAATAAAAAGCAATATACTATGTGTAGAAAGTCTCCTGAATATATATTATACAAAACGTTGGAATGTGGGTAACACTGTACCTGTTCACTATTAGAAATTTGAGCGCAATTAATTGCCCAATGTTATATCATCTACAATTTTTGCTACTACATTTTTGATTGTTCTCCGATGCTTCTTTACAAAGACCATAACGAACGAGATAACGAGATAAGAATTGCGATAATTAAATTGTAACTGATGGAGTCTACTCTGAAAGATATAAAATATGGTATAAAAAATAATTCTAGGCAGTTCATTGTTAACAGCGAGTTAAGATAGTATTAGAGAATCCAACATGTGTAGATTTTAGTACTCAACATGCAACATCGATTTTTTTGGATTATAACCTAATTTAGGTTTGTAATACAGAACATATTGAAACAAATATAACGAGTAACTTATATAATAACTTCCAATAAAAACATATATGAATATACTGCAGTGATTTCTTTAATAAAACTAATAAGCGCCAGAACGAAAGTTTTATAATATAATCCATCTACAACCCCCTATTTCTCGTACTCTGTCTCCTCTTTTACTTTCTGTTAACTGTACTCAGAGGTAGATACCTTTATTAAAAATATAATAGAAATCACTCCAGAGTAAAAAGTGAAGTTACGTTAAAAGTTAATCTATATATCAAACTCCAAGTAATCTGCTATAGGTCCATTGCAATATCAAAGGAGTCTCATTATTAGATGTCTTTCTGTTAGTGATTTGGTTTTTAATGCATAAAAAGAGTTTCTGTGATGTTGGAACAACCGTTTCAAGACCAATCCATTTTTGTAATTTTTTGAGAATTTCAATATTAGTGCCTAGTAATTCTTCATGGCAACGATTTCTATCCTACTTAAGTTAAATTTATTCATATATTAATTAATTCTACCTAAGTTTTTACAGAACCAAAACTATTTGATCTTAACACAAGTGTTTTAATTTTACTACCTGGCATACATCATGATTTAAAGGTACAGATTAGTATGTAAATAATTAGAAAATAAATAATATAGCTAATATTTATACTTTAGTGCTAGTTTACTTATTACACACTTGCGGAGTAGTTTACTACATAGTGGTGTTCAGAGGATGAATACTTTTCTCTTACTAACCTCAATTGGAGACACAATATACGATTAAATGACTTTTGATTTAATATAAAAAGACACTACAAATATAATTGATGCCTGACTTTTAACAAAAAGTTTAAAATCAGTTTCTAATATATATTTCTTTGATTGACTTATGTAATAACCGACTTATGACGGACCGTCTTGAGATTTCTTTAGAGTACTATATTATCTTAGATCTACGCAATTCGTTCTAATTTTACCTTTGATAGAATAGGCGAAAGCTACTTAGTGTATTATTAGAAGATTAAGTAAGGTAAAGACAGCTTCTGAAAGATATATATATACTTTCATCTTAATTATTTTGTAATTTTATTGTAATTATCGTTATTATAATAATTATCGTTATTTTTAATTGTTAAATTTTAATTATATTCTTTTGTAAATTCATTATT